CGATAGTCTACACATTTCTTCAGCTGTCATGTAAAGCGTTGGCGTATTTTCTCCCTGTTGATGAAGGAAAGCTCAGGAAAGACTTGAATGATGACTTCATTGTGAAGAGAGAACTCAGAATGATTGCGGGAAGCTTGAGTTTGAAGTATGGAAAGTACATGGCTATCGCAAGTGCTGCTCTTCTCACTGCCAAAAATGTTGAAGTTCCCTTAACCCCCCGGGGACTGGGGGAGGGGTATTTTTCCCGCAATTTTAAACACGACACCAGTTTTTCCACTGTAATTTTTTTTAATATGATTAAACCCCATGAACCCATGCATTTTTAAAGAGAAGAGATCCTGCACTTTCTTCTAGTGCAAAAATTTGCTTAATATTTCTTCAAGAAAAAATCTGAAAAATCCAGAAAGGCAAATAAAACAGTTTTTTTTTTAAACTGGTTGAGTTTTGGACAATAACATTTTTTTTGGAACATGATTCTTTCTTAATATCAACTGCTATATCTGCAAAAGCATGTCTTAAGCACTGAACAAAAACAAATAATGCAAATCTCTTAAGTAGATGTGGATGGTAAACTTAAATTTCATAAAAAAAAGTTTTAAAGCCAGTTCACAGTTCAGTTCAGTTTACCATTATTCTGACTTTAGAAACATAATTTTGCTGTACTTGCATCAAGGTCTGCAAGGAGCCATAATTTATCTTGACCTCCTCTGTGGAGGTCTGCCTGGTCCAGCCCTTGGTCTACCAGTCACATCTTTGAGCCTATTAGCATTATTATTTCTTTTGGGATCGTCAAATAGATATTCTTGCAAAGTGTGGTATCTTTCAAAGCAAGGTGCTGGACACGTACGCACTTGGCAAACTGCACACTCATAGACTGTTTCCACCCGTTGTATGTGTACCTTACACTTTTTGTGAGTGTCAGTTTTCACAGGATGGTGGAACTGCACACGGTTGAAGTGGATATCTGGTAGCTGGGCAGCAATCGCTGACAGGTTATTGGTAGTGTCTCTTCTAAAAGAATTTCCTGCAATAAGTTGCTCCACAAGTTTCTCTTTGAATGCAGCTAGGGTGACTTTTCCATGCCCAGCTCTCTTGTGCATAATGTGTGCATTTAGTGCAGATACTTCAAGCATAAGAAAGAAAATTTTGTAATACCAAATATTTCCCTTCATAAGCCTGGAGCTGGTTGCTATCCGTTTATCACCCAAATCAACTCCCCCCATATGGGAATTGTACATTTTGATTACCTTTGGTTGTGCAAAGTTCTGTTTTTGCCACCGACCTTTGGATCTGACTTTCCTTTCCACCTGACCAATTTCTAAACCCTCAGGAATAGTTGACAGCAGGTGGACAAGCTTCTTGTCTTTCCAGGTGACACAAACTAAGTTGTTATTTTGTCGAAAGAGGGATTCTCCTTTCTTTAGTCTTTTGACCTGTTCTTTGGTCTGGTCAACAATGTCCTTTGGCAGGAATTTTCTGTTCCCCCTCACAGTCCCACAAGCTAATATCCCTCTTCTTTCCAACTCCAAAAAGAGCGGTACACTGGTGTACCAGTTGTCAACAAACAACAGGTATCCTTTATCAACGTAAGGCTCCACTAGCTTGAGGACAACACGCATGGCCAAGTCTCTGCTGACTGCAGGACCTTCCTTGCGAGTGTAAATCATAGTGTCAAGGACATAGCCAGTTGCAGAATCTGCTATGACAAAACCTTTTAGCCCAAATCGGCTTCTTTTCAAAGGCAAAAACTGCCTAAATTGTAACGTCCCTTGAACTTGATAAAGGTCTCATCCACAGACAAATTCTGTGATGGTGAATAAACTGTGGTAAATCTTGGAAGCAAAGCATTCAAAAATGGCCTGATTTTCCACAGTTTATCTCTATTAGGGTCAGCAGGGTCTGGAGCATTGTTGTTGTCAACAAAGTGCATAAACCGCAGAATATGAAGGTAGCGATCTCTCGACATTTTGTTGGGAAACAATGGAGTCTTGATAACTGATTTATTACACCAGTAAGACTTAAAGTTGGGTTTTTTCACTAAGCCCATTGCTAAGGTGAGACCAAGCCATGCCTTCAGTTCTGGAACAGTCAAATTGTGGAGATGACCTCTTGAATTTGGATCAAGATGACTTTTTTGGCGTTCAAATCTCGCGGTCTCATTCAAAATCAGCTGGTAAACATTATCAGTGAAGAGCAGTTCAAAATAGTTAAGACAACTGCTGTTGTTTTCCATTTCTACTCTCATACCAACCTCTTCATTGAAGTTTCTGTCTTGTGGAGGTCTTATCACGGATGACCACATTAAATTTGAGTAGTCACGCTCCTCAGTATCCTCGCACTCATCGCTTTCTTCCCCACTTTCATCTGCAGATTCTCCTTCGCTGCTATCGATATCAGAGGGCGCTTCGTTGTCAGAATGCACGTGGGCAATACGAAGGAATGCTACAGGAAGATCGTCTTCATCCACAAAAGTCAATCCAGTCAGCTCTGCAGCCGCCATTTCGAATTATTTCGCTAGCAAAGTACAAGCTGAACATATGGGGACGCCATATTTAAAAGGCTGACGCGAAATATTCAAGTAACAAAGTGAAATATTCGCTAAAAATCGCCTATTTTGAGTTTCGCAGATTTGTTTTCACAGAAATGAGCCTTATTACATCAACCAGCGGTTTAACAACAGATTTGTCCCAATTCCCCACGGTCAGACTGAAAATAACAACAAAAAAGAGGTGACGTAATTTTCGACATCTGTGGCCGTCGTTCGTCCCTTAGGTGTTAAAACCAAATGTGGTTAATGTTGAAGTAGAAAGTAATTGTGAAGAACTTGAATAAGAACTTGAATTAGAACCTAAAAATATGACAAAAATAAAATGGAAGAAAAAGAATCTCAAGATCTGGGAGAGTGAGAGCAACAGCCGGAACCGTCGCAGTCGCTACCAGCACAACAAGTCACTTCAACTGATAAAAATAAGACGAAACCGAAAAAAGATCCAGGGCATGTCGTTGCTGGGAAAAAAACTTGCTGAACATAACAGAAGAGTTAGAGAGCAAAAAAAGGTGAATGCTTTGAAGCAGCCAAACCTAGAGCCAGAACCAGAACCAAAACCAGAGAAATAAATCATCATCATCATTCTCACTCACTCAAATTCTTTCAGTAGCAAGTATTGTTCTTTCACTGGCTGGACTGTACTATAAAAGGAAAGAGTTGATGGAGCTCGTAAAATCATGACCAAACCCAGAACTAGACCAGAACCAAGGCAAATTCAGCGCATCTCTGCGGAGGAATCAGCTGAGTTGCCTCAAATTCCAAAAGGAGGAAAACCAATGGATTGATTTTTTTTGTCTTCCAAATAAAAATGTCTGATAATGCACTTGTGAAAACTTTGACTGATTCAGCTACATTGACTGGATTGGCTGCTGGAATTAGATGGGTGGCAAAGAGAGTTATCAAAGAACCGATGACTTCTGATCTGAGTTCAAATCTCATGAACTATGTAAAGTTCACTGTCGTGTTTGCTGGATCAATCGCAGCAAAAAAATATCTTGAAGAACAGAAGATTTTGCCATCTTAAGAAATGCATTTAAGTTTGCGGCGACAATGCAGACTAACTCAATATTCTATGAGATTAATTTCATGATGAAAACTTGCCAGCGATTAATAAAATGACAAGCATGCAATAATGATTGGAGGAGCACTCATCAATGCAACTGCATTTGTTGGTGGGAGCTATGTCGCAAAATATTTGAGTGGAGATAAAAATAGTGTTGAAGAAGAGAAGAGACATGATCTTGCTGTAGAAAAATACCAGGCAGCTTATGAGAAATATCAAGAGAATCGAGCAAAGCTTCTCGATTGGATTGCAGCAAATGACCGAATCAAAAAAGAGGCAAATCAAAATTTGATTGGTACAGATTATGCTTTAAAGCTTTACAAAAAGGCACATAGTGAAGAGCTTGATATGAAAGAACCACATTTTTCTAACTTCTTCAAACCGAGCACACAACAGAAACAAGGTGAAACGGTTTATGCGGGAGGAATGGCTTTGGCTTTGGGATTGACTGCAAGTCGATTTTTGTGAAAGCAAAAGAAAATGGAGAGAACTTTCAAGAGTTTACCATAACCTGAAAGGATTTTGGAAGGGATTGGGTGCAGTGAAAAAGTTGGTGGAAGAAGCTTGGGTTCCTGAAGATGTTAGAAAGCTTTTGGCTTATGAGACAAGCCATCTGGCAAATTTATTTGCCTGCGAAGCATATCCCACGGCCAACGTTTGATGTTGATTTTCCAAATGCAGTTCATCAGGGCGATCTTCTTTTCCTTCCTTATGGTAAACTTTTTAGAAAGGTCTATAAATATGCATTGGCAGTGGTCGATGTTGCAAGCAGATTCAAGGCTGCTGAACCTCTCACCTCAAAAGAATCTTCTGAGGTCTCAAAGGCTTTGCAGACAAAGTACAAAAGAGGACCATTGAGATGGCCAAAAAATCTTCAGGTTGATCCTGGACCTGAATTCAGGGGTGAAACTAAAGAGATGACAAAGCATGATGTGAGAATTAGAAGGGGAAACATAAACGTTCATAGAGATCAAGGGATAGTTGAGCGATTTAATCGAACTTTGGGTGAGCACCTTTCTAGTTTAATACAGGCAAGAGATGAACTTCAAAGACAGAACAAGATCAACAGAATGGGTGAAGAGGCTTCCAGAAGTTGTTTCAGCATTAAATCGTGGAGACAAGATTGACTGGAAAGAAACCAATTGATGCAATCAAAGAAAAGGTGGTTGACGCAAAGAGTTCAACTTCTTATTCAAGACCTGTTGGGTTGAAAGAAAAGAAACTTGAGTATTCAAAAAACGTGAGATATCTCTATGCTTCGGGCGAGTTAGAAGGTGGACAAAGATGAGCAACAGATCCAATCTGGTCTCTAAAAGTTTTCAATATCGAAAAAGTACTTGTGAATGAAAAAGAACCTGTTCTTTACTATCTGAAAGATGGGCCAAAGCGAGGATTTGTCAGAGAAGAGCTTCAGATTGTTCCACCTGAAACTGTGCTACCTCCTGAAGGAATTTGATGAAGAGAATGCTTCATAAGCCTCTAGGTGTTTTTTTTTTGGGATTATTTCTGAGATATTGTCATTAATTTTTTCTGATGGTTCAAACAAATTTTGAGATTGTCTCGAGAATCAATGTAATCTCGAAATTCATCAATTTTGTTTTGATTTTTGAAAAAAAATGCGCCAATCATTTTGCCTTGAAATCGTCATTGTTCATTTTTAAACGAGATAAAAAATTAAAATCATTTCTCAAAATGTCCTTCAAAACACGGTTGTTTTGACACATAAATTGCCTTGTTTTTGACGCAACCGAATTTTTTTCAAAACTGCCCTGTTTTTCAGGCAATTTTGAAAAAATGTGCCAGAAACCCCCTTTTCTTACTACTTTTGTATTGTGTTGAGGGGTGGGTAATGTTCAGTATCTTTTGAATATTTTGTATTGGATTATTTGTTATTACACTTATTATCGACAACACCAGGAAATAACTTTTTTAAGTGCCTTGAATCAATAATATTACTTTAATTGTTCACAAAGGTAACATTTGGAGCCCTGTGACTCATGTCACTCTTGACACTTTCAAGAAAGTACACACATGAATATCATATGAAGACTACAGCTTCAAAATCACGATCTTATGAAACATATTTTTTCCAAATTTGATACTTAATTACAGCGGTTGTGTTGAGATGGACAGATCCAGCTTTAATTTTTCCCGGAACTCATCAGTTCACTTAAGTTCCTATGTTGAATTATTACATAATATATGCATACACTACTTTTATAAAATTTGGATCAATGACATAATATTCATCCTAATAATGAAAACTAATATGAATGATTTAGAACTAGGCTTTGTGATTTTGTCCTTGAAGTCCCATTTTTTTTTGTAATAAAAAGGGACATTTATGGAATGATGAATGTCTAACTAACTTCTGCTGCAAGAAGCTCTTCCAATCTTCTAATAAGATGAGCTTTATACCCAGTTAACGATGCTCCTCTTGCACGTAGTTCTTCTTTCAGTTCCTTGACATTCATCATTTGAGGGTTGATCTTACCAGATGGCCTAGCCAGTTGTTCTCTTGATGAGTGTGCAACCTTTTGATGAGACTCAAGGAGAACTACATCTGGGAATCTCGTTTCACATGTTTCACACCTTACTGGCTTAAAGATAGCTATAAGGTTTTCATCTAATTTCATTTCTTGGGCGCACCTTACAATGTCTTTAGACTCCTCACAAAATGTACAAAGAGAAGCTTCATCTCGTGATCGTCCACACTCGCAGAAGTTAAGGGTATCCTTGCAGGGAGGTGGAAGTTGAGACTTGAAGTGGGATGTGTAGGTAGACGGCACAGGCTGATGTTGAGGCAAATAAAATGCCCTGACATAATTAGTGTGCATTAGCTGCCACCACTTACCTACATTGCTTGTTGAGCGAGACCTCTTGGGTCCTGCTTAACACCTGAATGCTTTGATTCCTTTGCCTGCAAAGAAATAATACCATAACCAACCTTGTACTCTCTGTAGAGCAATTCTGCATGGTAGGGTACAGCATAGCCGATTGTCCAAACTGTTAAGTTAACAGCATCCGGGAAGAATAGAGAGATAAGGTTGAAGTACATGCTGCAAGAGTGCTTTAGTTGATTCATTCCAACTAAATTTGGCTCAACCTTGCTGAAGAGCATCACAAAGTCTTGGAGAAACTGAGCTGCTTTACCAAGGGCCAGGTGCTTAATCCTCTGAGGACTAGACTCATCATTCATGCGGAGGGCATCAATTAATCTAAATGAATACCTGGCTAATGGAACAGCTTGTTCACCTATCAACCTTGTAGCGATGTTGTTGCTCTTTTTGTCTTTGTCATTGTAGTGTTCCCTAATCTTCCTAGCAAGAAATGCTAACTGACAGCCTTTCCTATCTGAATTACCACTGACACTGCCACTTGTTGCAGCACTACCTATTGCTTGCTGAATTACCTTGTGTTGCTCTCTAACTAGTACTGACTTCCTAACTCTCTCTCCAGCACCCTCGGGGTAACTTGACAATATAGATGAAGCTGTTTTTCTCTCCCGAGGACTATCCTGAACTTGTAAAAGTGAACTCAGAACCTTTAAAAAATCCTCAATCAAATCACTCTATAAAGCTTCACGTAGATAACATTTAGCAGATGCTGCCAAGCATTAATCTCATTATGCACTGGCTCTGGTCTTTGATGATCTGCAAACTCACCAATCCTGGGATAAACAACTTGTCTAATTCCATTCTCTGCCATGAAAGATAATTCTTTTTCATGCTTCTTGGCTTGACTAAGAGTCTTGCTTAGTGAATCTCGATACTGGTTTAGTTTTAGGAGATCTGCTTTCCTCTTCTCCATGGAGGGTGGTTTTCAGGTATCTGAGAATGAATGTCCTATACAGGCCCCCATAGTACCCAAACTACCTTTGTGAACAAAT